GGGACAGGGGGAGGGAGGGTGGCAACAACAGTCCCCATTCTGCATCATGCTCTTCCATATCCCAAACATTTAACTGCCATCTTCTATTCCTTGCTGCAAAACACTGAAGGTTACTTTATCTTTAATGAATGTTTCCATTGTTGCATATCTTCATTGCTTCCCAATCTTTCTTGTTCCATCACTCCCTTTTCTCTCTTTTCTGTTTACATTTTGACTTGCCCTACAGGCTCATCAAAATATGGCACAAATTGTAAATATACTCAGTTATTAAACGACCGACTAAATAAAATATAAACTCTTATAATTCACTCTAACCTGAACCAGTAAAAGGCCATTTTTTCATCCTTTGATACTCCACGCCCTAAAAAGAACAGCAGAGTAAGTAGTATTAATAACACTATAAACACTCTTAGGGTACATATTAAGAGGCAATCAGTTGTAAAGTATAATGGTATAGCACAGTTTTCATTTGAGTGTAGCAAGTAATATGGGATTGCTTTGGTTTTGCTTAACCTTGGTCTTTAATTGGTCCAGATAAACTCATGCCACTCTCTCTACCAACTGCTTGTAAAATTTAAACCAAACAGAACTTGGTCCCCACATTTTTTCACATTTTAAGCCCTTGCCTTGTTTTCAGTTTGACCTTTCATTGGCTCTCAGGGGTATTTTCCTTTACTCTGATTGTCTATTGTGATTACTCAATTCAACAATGCTCTTCCCAGTATGACCCTCATGCTCCATCAGTAAAAAGTTCTTATAATTCATCAAATTTTTTTGCTGGTGCACAATTTGTTCTAACCCATCATATTACTGAATATGCTCTAGCTAAACCTGGGGAATATCTGGTGATATACTGCAAGTGATTTTTCGCAATTTTCAAACCTTGCATCCACTATTATAGACATCTTTATTTCAAGATTTAATTCAACCTCAGGGAGTATTTAACTGTTGTTACAGAAGAAGGGACTTGGTTTGTAAAGTTTCACTAACTATGAGAAGTAATAAATATCCCATACAGCAAACAGTAAGATGGTGTCAATCCTTTTTTTCTGCACATTGCAAAAATTTTTATTGGAAAATAAATGCATTTAGCTTTCATTTGGCCCCAAAATAAGCTTGTATATTAGGCTCACAGTTCACCTTGGGCTTTCTCTCAGAAAACTGTTCCCCTCTTAGAACAGATAACATCCACAGACAAATATGCAAGCATGTTTTTGTGCCAAATGGAGGCTATCATTAACATATTCCCTGTTTTAATGAGGAAATACTTGGTCAGCTGATGCATTTATACTAATCATGCACAAGCAGAGACATTTGATGGAGTATGACAGTTGATAAATTTTGAAATCTGAGAACTGACTGCTGATTCACTCAACTGACGATGATCGATACATCAGTTTTACGTTGGTCCTGGGAATATTCATGTCACTGTTAAATCTAGACAATTTCTGCTACAAGTAGATGTTAGAGGGCCCTAATGTTAGATGTTGAGAATTGATCACTGCAAGGAATAAAAGTATTTCAACACTGCACCTTACCATTAAGGTATTTATGCGCTACATGATGCTGTGCGTGTGAGACTCCAACGTTGGCGTAAGCATTCAGCACATGAAAATGCAGATGATCCATATAATAATACATGTACACAAAGAAGAGCAAAACACCAACCACTACTGTAACCTTGAAAAAAAACAAAAATTAAAAAATTAAAAAAACCTCATTAAAAAAATAGCCGTGACTCCTATGTCCGTTTCCCAGAATCACTACTAAAACGATGAGACTTTCGGTCGATCTCCTTAATTGCTTCACGATCGTGAATGTAAACAAGCCCCTCCATAAACAGAAGTAGGTACGAACATGAAAATTGAATGCTGCAAAATTACGAAAGGAGACGATATCGAATGAATCAAATACTCTTGCAAAGAAAGAAACCAAGAACTTGTCATTTTCGGTTCAAGTCAAAAAAATAATAAAAATTTCTAGTAGTATAAATATCACAGAAGGTACTCGTTAAGCTCAATTGTGTCCTACCTCAATAGCTGTCACCCACCACGGATCTGGTTTTTTCCGTCTTGCCACGTAAACTTTAGGCCCATAGGGTAGGTTTGGATCGTAATCAGCTCCTCCAGGCGCCCAGGAGGGTATTTGTTTGTTTCTTTTTCGAACTTCTTCGCCCTTTTTCTCGGCCATTAGGTCCACCACTGTGTCCATCTTAGGGAACGGAAGAACTGTCGAGAAATTTAATCATGCGATGGATGGCAATTTCTTATTGGCCTACGGTTCAAATTGACCAATAGAAGCACAGCTTCTATTTGATGTCAAACGCACGAAGCAAAGTAGCGCAGGTGAATTTTAAATTTGCAAACCGAACTTGAGTTCTGAATTTGGAGAAACGCTCATTGCAGCAAAACCAATAAAAATAAAAGTTTTGAATTCAAATCACCGACCTGAATTACAGTTAACCCTGTATGAGTAATTCAACGAGGCCGTAGCGCCCCCTCTAGTGGAGAAAAGAAAATTTTCTTCAAGTTCTTTTCGTCAGTCGCAAAGTCGGATAAGTATAGAGTTATTAATATTAAATAGATTTTTTTATTGTAGCCATAGTTATCTATCATAAATGCATCACCAAAAATGCACTTATAAAGCCATGCATAATTCTGTGGAAAAAGACGAGTGCCAGATCCTCAGAGCTATCAGCGTCTAAAGAAGTTGAAAGCCCTCTTCATTCGATAGTACCTCTGAAGAAGAATATAGACGGTTGAAACTCTAAAGCGCCTACCTTTATTTCTTTTTCCGTGGAGTTAACTGTTTATCCAGGAAGTTTGCGAAGTCGACACAACAGCCTTAGACCGTTTGTTCCAGGCTTTCATTGGCAAACCTCGCTGTGTGATACTCGCGCGGAGTGGGGATTGGTAAGACTGCCTAGCCTCTCTTCCGAAATGGAAGAGTGTTCCTGAAATGATATGTACAATTTTCCAGTTAGTCATAGAAATTAATGCAGGGGAACATGGGTTTCGCCTAACCATGCCTATGATCGGTTTTTCAAAATCAACTGATCAGACGTTGCTCGGAACCTATCTTGTCTACACTTGAGTCAGTAAGTGTAAACCCTTTCACTTCAAGATCCAATGAGTTTTTCTCTTTACTAATCAGGATATATTTCTTTGTTAATTGGACAGGAGAATTAAATTTTTTATCAAGACAAGACTCTATACATGAAAGGTTCGCTTGTTTTCATCAAGAGCTGCGAGTATAATATGTTTGAGATCGCCAGAAGAATCTCTGGAATAAAAATTTTCAGCCTCTCCCCGACCTCCGGCAATCCTGGATACATGCGTTATTAACCAAGCGTGAGGTCAACATGGCTGGATATTGGCCGAGATCTCTTTTTGCATAATTATGGACGAGACAAAGTCTCGGCCATAAAAATGCGAAAAAAGAACGAGGCTAATATTCAGCCATCTTGACTGAACAAGATTGTTTAATAAAGGATTTATTAAAGATTTAGCTTTTTTAAGAATTGAGAAATGACTTGTTTACTTCGAGAGGCGGGAAAGAAAGTCAACTGTGTTTAGAGCACAACAAACGTACGAGTCGTTTCTGTTTTCGTTGTTTTGACTATCCTTTGCTGCTTTTTACGTTTCCATCGCCGAAATTGTCCAAGAATTAAGAACGTTGGTCTAATTCTATTTTTTCATTCACGGGATCAATGTGAGCAGTCCCGAGCGAGCAAGATGGGCCAATCTTGCCCGCTCAGGTAGCCAATCAGAACACAGGATTCATCTTGCCCACGGGCGCTGCGAACGATGTACTAAGGCAAATCATTATCATTCATTTTTTTAATTTTGTTCTTCTCTTCAACAAGTACGGTGCCTTAAGTTTTGGCCAACCCTTTCCAGTAGAAATCAACAGATATTGAGATCCACAACGACTGGAATTCCTAGCCATACAACAAGACGAAATAAAAGCGAACCGTTCCGAGCAATTGTGCCGCTTTTGGCATAACTACAAAAGAAAGAAGAGACTGCATGGTTGGTATTGCTCGCTCATTTTCACAAAGGTTTTCTGTGCAATTTTTGCACTGGTTTTATAGGCAATAGGCGTGGTTGCATCATGCATCACATTTGTAACATGTATCGATAGTTCCCAAATGATATTTGTTCTCATGCTACTTGTAAAAATCCTGGAATATGTAGATAGAAATCTTGTTTGGAAGATTTTGCAGCTATGGAAAATCTTTCCTCCTCAAGTTTGATTTCGACGTGTTGGTGACCTGAGAAATATAAACCCCGAACAGAATATGCCAGAGAATTGTCATTAATTACAAAGAAACTGTTTGAGTTTGTATTCCATAGTTTGAAAAACAATTTGGCGGAGTAATACGCGGTAAAGGCATTGAAGACTAAGGTGGTTGGCTCTTGCCATTATAACTCTCCTTTCAATGTGTTACAAAAGCAATGTGCCAGTAGTTCTAACAGTAATATTTCAATTCTGGCGCGCTTTCGTGCTATGGCGTCTTCGACAGCCTTTAGCTCACGAAGAAGTTCTTCTCTCCTTGAGGTTGTGTTTGCCGCGTTTCCTCTCCCGGAAGATGCTGATTCCACCTGAGGATCCACTGACTGTTTGTCAGGTTTGTTCGCAGATTGCACAGACGAAGAAACGGCTTCCTTCCTGGTTGCTGGAGCGTCAGAGACTGGTGGCGAGTCACGCGGCCGTTTTTTGAATGTAGAGGGTTTATCACTGCTGCTACTGGCTTCAGATCTTGCTGGTGGTGAATGAGGAGCGGGTTGTTTGGATGGCTCCGAGTTCTCTTTTCGTGTCACAGACTAAAATGAAACGAGTGAGAATAACGTCAGACAGCATAAAAACTTCATCATCATCACCCCATAATAATTCGTCACCATAACGGTGAAGACCATCAACAATGCACGATGTGAGACAGTTAAAGTATACACATACATGCCAGTTAGCTCAAAGGATAGAGCGCTGGACTGTTGTGCGGGAGGTCGAGCGTTCGAGCCCCGGCCGGACCAACACTCAAGGTCTTAAAACAAGTGAAAAGAATATGCTACCTTTCTATATCAAGAAATGGTTAGATATTCTAGTCTTCTCGGATGGGACGAATAAATAGAGGTCCCGTCTCCTGCAGGGTTAGGGGTAGGAGACGTAATTTCCCACGCACGAGATTACTGTGTGATGGATGTCCTCCCCTGGGGTGGTTGCTGGGTGGGAATTGGCCCCGAAAAGCCCCCATGGGGAGTGGTCGATTAACGTACGTATGTATGTACGTATCTACGTATGTATGTATGTATGTATGTACGTATGTATGTATGTATGTACGTACGTACGTAGGTAGGTAGGTTGGTAGGTAGGTAGGTACGTAGGTAGGTATGTATGTATGTACATGATCTTTAGTTCCGCTTTAGTTGCGGCGTTGATTATCACGAGATACGTTATAAAAAATGAAACAAAGTGTAACTTCCTGTATTTCACAAAAGAGAACTTTAAGCAGGATTGCAGTCAGCAGCACCTTAGAGAACATAGAATGACTGTCTTTTTCTAATCGTACCTTATTCAGAGTGAGTTTAATATCTTTATGTCCAGTATATCGAATATTTCCACTTGTGAGCGGCACATTCCGAGCTTGTTTGAGTTGTTCAGGAGCTGTCCGGCGTGTTTTAGGCGGGTTTTGTTCGTCTTCAGACTCACTACCACTATCACTACTCTCACTGTCGCTAGATGATGCGCTGGATACACGCCGCATTCCGCCTCGCTCTCGAGTTGCACGAGGAGAACTGGGCCGAGCAAGCGCATGCTCCATGCTATCTGCACTCGAGGAACGCTCTCGGCTAAAAGGTAGAAACAGGTACTAGGTTACTCTAGAGTTGACCGCTGAATTCTCTTTTCAAAAAAATATTGTATATCGAGTAAAACAAAAATTCGGCAACGCAGCCTTAACACTTCACAGCTGTATAGATATTATTATTTATCATATGACACGTGCGGCCCCGCTCACGAATTCACAAAGAAAACAATGGTAGAAGCTGACGTGAACTGGTCCGGAAAACGCCGTCCGGACCTGCTGCCCTCACATCGCTTTGCTGCAGGAACTCAAAGGAAAACAGAAATGAGAAAAAAGTCGCATTTCTCGAGGAATTGGGAGTTTCTTGTTTTGACTCGAAAAAAGTAAAGGAAAAGTTATTATTCCACATTTTTTTTTTGTTCTCGTGTGGCTGTGTGTGCCCTTTTACCCCTTCCTATTTGCTTTGGAATTTTCAACGCTATGTGGTCATCTGACAAACCATTTATTGACTTGGTTTGGTCGGGCCGGACAGGAAATTATTTGGCTCTCGGTCATGACGCACGGACCTCGCTGTGCTCGGTCCGTATGTCATGACCCCAAGCCAAATAATTTCACGTCCGGCCCTCCCACTCAGTTGATAAGTAGACAATGTATTTCATCTCCAAACACTTATAATAAAATTTGCAATTCAGTCTTCCAATAATTCTTCAATCAGAGCACTACATTTGAGCACTTTATTGAATTTCATTTTACCAGTTAAAATCAGTTTATCACTATTCACCCATGGTTTAGGCAAGGTTTATTTCAGATATCGTCTAATAGAAAATGAAAAATCCCCTTCTGCCGTACAGCTCAAAGTCAGCTCCACAACAGATACCTTAACAAAGCCCTCATAGAAAACTGAAAAAACTTACATCTTTGATTCGTCAGGTCGCCTTCGGTCCTCATTCTGTCAAAAGAAGCGTGTCAACAATTATAAAGACAATTTTCCTTATCAGACCTATCGCTACAAATGTACCATTAAACTGAAAAACTAAAAGAAATATGCTGTATTTAAATGAAATGAATCGAAAGTTGTCTGATTGTTTTAATTGACTATTGGTGGGTTTATGTTATATAATAAATAAGTGAAGACCACCTTAACTCAAAACTAAACCCTCAGTTTTCACCCGCTTGAGGAATCGTCCCCACAATGAGAACGGTACCTACCCTTCTCCGGGGCGATCGAGATCTTCTTCTCCTGGCAGGACTCCTTCCCCTTCGAGAATGGTATCCACGCTCCCGCTCCCTACATCAGAAAAAAACAGATTACTTACTGACGTCAACCAAGAGCCAATTTTAGATGGGAAAAACCCAACAACTTCTTCTCCCCGACCCTCACCCCACCCGTATTTGATGAGATACTCACCTGTATGGATCTTCAGGTGGCCTTGTATTGCCCATCCTCCGGGGGTCCCAGGGGTTGTTATATCGTACCTGTCCCTCTCGCCACTTTTCTATTCTATCTGCTCGGCCATACTCGTAGCGATTCCTCTTTTCTTTGACGTAACGACCTGTTGTTGATTCGATTGGTGGAGTTCGAGGTCCTTTATCTGGAGAAGCTTTTGGCTTTATAGGGCTTTTAGAAACTGGTGTAGGTGATCGAGACTTGGATTTATTTGATTCGGATTCCGAGTCTGATGATTCGTTAGAAGCTTGTTTGGCACCTTTATCGTCGTCGGCATTTGGTGTAGTCTTCGCTTCCTTTACAGGACTGTGGCTGCTTGACGAACTCGAACGATCACTTCCCGAGGAATGAGATCCAGATCGGGAGCGTGATTTAGATCGGGATCCAGAACGTGACCGTGATCTGGAAGATGCTGCAGAAACTGAACGAGACCGCGAGCGTGACGCAGAGCGTGATGTGGAGTGTGACTCTGATCCCGAGTGTGAACGTGAACGTGATGAACGTGATGAGTCGGATGAGGAAGAGGAAGATCGGCTACGTGAACTTCGTGAAGAAGCTGACTGTCGCTTAGGAGAGGTAGTTCTTTGCCAAGGATCAATCCAGTCGTCGTTGGGGAGACGAGAACTAGAGATACCTAATGCTTTTGG